CCAGTATTATTGCCTTTGTTTTGTGTCACGATGCGAGGTGGTGGTGGACCCCAAAAAAGCAGGCAGGAGGGAGGAGCAGGGTGTACTTGAAAGATTGTATTAAAACTCAGAAAACTAAATCCAAAACAAACAAAGTCCAAAGTATCAAACAAAACACATGACTGAATTTTTGAAATGGTGACTCCTAAATAAAAACAGAGACGCTTTTCTCAGATGTCAGAACACGTCACATGTGACTGAGTCCTATTTTAAAGATATGAGTTAAATTGAAATCAATATTTGGTTTTATTCATTTAAAAAAAAAATCCTATCAAGAAATGTGTGTCCACATTTCCGTCACTCAATTGCTGCACTCTACAACAACATTTATCCTGTTATGAGACTTGTGTATTTTTCTTGAAATTATAGCAAAAGTCCAGTTTCTAAAACATTCAACTTAAGGGACATTTACATTTTGATCCACCACTGTCAATGCAAAACCTAAAAACAGTCAGCCTTTATCTGAAAGTCTTTTTTCACATCCATTCGCGAGGACGCGCTGGCAAAAGCGGCGAGTCATCAGTTGCCAGGTCACTTACCCATAATAACACAATTCGTGTACACGGAGAGAAACAAGCCATTATAAGTACATTTGTTACAAGGGAGTTAACACTTGATCACAGCAAAGAACGCTTTTGTTGTCAAAGCAGGAAGAAGCATATTCAACATAGGCCCCGAAGGAAGTCATGGAGCTTTATCAGGCACATAGTCGCCTCACTTGGGACTCTCCCAATGCTGACACTGCAAGTAGAGTACGGCGTAAAATTGCCTGTAAACACAGGCAACAAAGGCGGTGTGCACTTCACTTGCTCGTCTCTGTCGCCTATGCAGTATTATATAACATATTAGGGAAAATTGGCTTTTTAATTGCTTCTATACAAATAGTTGGGTCTCTGGAGTGCCGGTGCAGCCGTTAAGTGTGAAATTAAACAAAAGTGTTTATCGGTTTATTTCTTAAAATGTGTATGCAAGCGAGACGTTTTGCATCTGTTTTTTTCTTTATAAATATTCTACTTCATTAAAAAACATATACTATTATGACATTTCAATAAAAGATAAATAATTGATCAGGTTCTGCTTCAATTCAGTGGACATTGTGCTGCTCCTTCTGATGTATGTTTCTTGGCCACCCGGGGGCAGTATAATACAGATGCGCGGATAAACAAAAAGCCGATCAAAACTCTAGATCCCACACAAATATTAGTGGACGGATGTCAAACTCAAGGGCCAGTGGCCAAATTGGGCCGTCACATTGTTTTATGAAATCAACTCATATGTGTCAGCAGCTTCCATGGTCCTTGATGAAATCTGTACCAAAACTTCAAATTGTCATGTATAGTAAAAAAAAAAAAAAATAGCCTTGAGATGTTGCAATAATTTTTTGTGAGTCATAACAGCCCTCTGAGGAAAGCCGTAACTACAATGTGGCCCGCTACAAAAACGTGTTTGGGACCACTGTATTGGTGGTTCTGCGTGGAAGATAAAGAATATATGCCTTTGAGTATTGTCATATTATCTCTCTATCGAGATGTCCTGATCACATTTTTTGCACCCAAATCAGAGTCCAAGCCATTTTATTTTTGGTATCTGCTAATACCAAGTCTCTCGCAGATATCTCGGCAATGCATGAGAAATAGATATATTTTTTAAAATTCGAATAACATTATTCAAACACGATAACATTTTTACATGTCTCAGTAGTAGTTCGGATCAAGTAAACAAATAAAATATTTCTTCTTGACTTCAAAAATCTGATCTTTTTCAACTGAAAAATCACATGATCGGTCCCGATTTCCGATCACATGATCAGATCGGGACAACCCTATCTGTTTGCATGTGTTGCTCCACTGTTTACATTCATACACGCAGTACTATTCATTAGCCTTCCTTTGCATTGTTTGCTAGAATTAAGCTACAGTTTACAATGGGGCAGTTGTTTTAAATATACATTGTTACTAGCTGCCAGTTGTGAAATGAGTTGAGTCCCGCATCATGATATAGCGTTTGTATCTCAAATTTCTGCTCTCAAGTCAAAGCAGAAAAAAAAATGGCTGTTTGATCATAGTGCAACTAGTAAATCCACTCGTGCTAACAGCAGGTTGTTATGGGAAGAAAAAGTCGCACTCGTTCTTGGCACAGCAGCACATAATGCTGGCTCGCTGGCTGATTAAACAACAGCGTTGGAATTGGAACGTGTAGACTACTAAAATTCTAGACCCTTGGGGTATTTAGAGGAAAGCGTGTCAAACCCGTTACCAAGATGATTGGGAAGTACTTTAAATTATGGAGAGAAAAAAAAAAGCATAATACGTCTGTAAAAGTGTATCACCCAACACTCCTAATCATGTTTGTCCCTTTCCACATACGTATTACATCAGTCACCCACTCGTTCTCTTTTAATGAAATCACAGGAGAGCAGACTCATTCCACTCGCCCACCCCGAAGAAAGGAGGACGAGGAGATAAGAATGTTGAGTGAGAGACGTGCTAAAGTGAAAAGAGACAAAGACAGGCAACGGCAAGGGACTCCTGGGAGGAAGTGCAAGGGCTGCGGCGAGAGGAGCTTAATTTCCCAGCACCATCTGTTAGCGGTGGCTGGCTTTTGAAAGCTCCACTTGTGTCAAACCTCCCACAACCGCACACCAGTGGAGCAACACTCACCCCCACTTCAGATGAGATGAATGAATCCACCTGCCTCTTTTCTAGGTCATCATGAATTTAGTTTCGGCACAAATGGCAGGTAAATTGTGTGTGTTTTTTTTTCCCTCTAATATATCCACTCTTTGCTTCCGAATCAATGAGAGGGCAGGGGCGTGGGGGGTGTTGACAGTGTAACCCTTTCTGTTGTAGTGCAGGCCTGCAAAATTATCTTTGATAAACAGCCCGTTTAATCTCATCCGTCTGGTATCGATTGAAGATGAGCCCACAGGGAGTACCGGGTGTACAGTATATTTACAATGTCCATACTCGGGGCTTTGTTTCTACTGGGTGAAGATGGGGGGGCATGGAAGAGTCTCCATAGAGGCGCATTTCCTCATTCTCCAACACATGCAGGATTCCAAAACAGAACACGGGGCCAACATTTAGGAAACCGGAGTAGCCAGAGAAAAGCCACGCAGGCCTGGGGGAGAACATGTTGTAGCTGGGAGGCCGGAGCTGGAATTGAACCCGGTACCTCCACAATGTGAGGTCGACGCGCTAACCACTGGTCCATCGGGCCGCCCCAAATTGTATTATGAATTTACAAATTCGGCAGAAAATGAGATTATTATATCAGTATGCGCACATTACCAAGATTTCTTTCTAACATCCTCCCCAACAGCAAACCTTCAGCGGCTTTGACAGGAGCCCCTGAATAAGATGTCATAAAGCAGCGGGTGGGCGGCGGTGAGGACCCACAAGAGAGAGCCGTTCCCTGGCATTTTCATGGCTTAATTTTAACATTCTCTTGGGGCGTATTTCTATGCTAATTTGTTAAGAAGGTCACGGAGCAGAGGCGGCAGACTACTCTGTTGCAAATGGTGTTTGGAATTGAGGAAAGGTAAAGCGCGCAGGTAAAAGGTTGAGCCTGGTGGTGTGCTTATGCAAAGTATTCATCTGGGGGTTTGACTGCATGAATTGGTGATGAGGAGGAAAACGTTATTTTTGTAGAATATGGTCAAGGGAGTCACCGTGTGGTCACTTGAGGTATTGCAGATATGAGTGTAGTCATACAAGGTAACCTCCCACGGACGGTACTGCGTTTGAATGTGTCGGAAAGCGCCTCAGTCTAATTAGTAATTTGATAGTAATGTTCCATGTGCAAATATTTGGATGACAAACACTTTCAGGCCAAAAATATAAAAGTATGCCTTCTTGCGCCACGCGACATTCTGTGCAAACTAGTTAATTGCATGCTGTTCGTAACCTCAAACTCAGATGTCAGCAGTACAGTCGAAAAGCAGGAGCCCCATAATACCATTTGCGACATGACAGACACGGCAACTTTTAGATGAAGGCACTGGGCAAACGGCTGAAAAGAATCCACTCCAAGATAAATCCTTTTTTTTTTCTCCAAAGTTTTATTTGAGAACAATATACAAGAACATCTTGAGCACGAGGACCATCCCTGGCTGATTGAGCTCACTAGGGAAAGAGAAGGGAGGAAAAAAGGAGACAAAAAAGATTACTCCACATTCAAAACATATATTGTTTTCTGGTTATATATTTGAGTTAAATTCCAAACTGATGCTAACATCGTATGAAGAAAAACATTGTTACACCTGTAACAAGTGTTTCATTGTGGTAAGAAAAAAAAAAAGTAGGTTTTGAGTCAAAATGCGCCAAACTCAACAAAAACAAAGATGCCTGCGCGCCACATCATTAACTCGAGTTCTAAAGCACAGTGGGCAAGTGTCGATTCACATGTAAACTATAGTGAGTATGCTTCACTAGAGCAACAACAAAGGTCTGAGGGCACTGGAAGAACCTTTTACAAGGGATTGGAAACAACACCAGTGGGGGGGAAACACCGAGTGGGTAAATCTAATGGGGAAAGTGGGCGTAGCATGCGTGGTACAAGTTGAGTGTGAGACTTTTGGATGTGCAACACAGTGGCACCCCATGCTTGCGCATTATACCTGTACACTGACACCTCATTTCTGCGCGAGTATTCCATCGGAGGCAAAGTCAGGAACAAAAAAAAAAAAAAAAAATTGAACAGAATCATATTAACACATTGAAAGTTGAGGCAGAAAGGGTTTGTTGGCTTGACAAGTAAGGTACGAGTGTTGACAAAGCAAGGGAGTTGCATCTTGAAGAGATGCAGCCATGATTAAACCGGGTCATTATTCAAAAGTTTTGTGCCACAGCCACGTTTGTACGATGAATTTTGATGCAAATCACTTCGGGTGCAGGTCTTTTTCAGACCGGTCACACTTGACACCATTAGTCTTGAAAAAGGCAGCTTAATTAAGTTTTTCCAAGCTCGTAGCCAGAATCTGAGCTACTCTGACAAACAAGTTTCAAAGACACTTTGAGCCCTTTTTACCCACATGAACATTTTAGTCCATTTGTTTGCCTTAAACGGCACAGACACACGAGTTGGGGGTTATGTTGGCTTTGAAGCAACTGTCAGTGTGATAATTGTTTTACTCATCACATCAGACACTGGCATTTTTCATGCATCTCTTTGCGGGATTCTGTGTTGTCAAACCAAAGTGCAATATCCCGCTTGGTTTGGTTCTGTGCAAAAGGCGCATACATAAATGCACACCTACAGCTAAGTTTGCAACTTTGCAGGACCTCTGGGAAAGAGGTTGGTGGTTTAGTTCAAATTGATTTCAGCAAGTAGTTTGGGAAGAGAGGAGATTAGAATTTATTACGCTTGGTGAAGATTTTAAGCTTTATGTTACACGTTTGTGTCTAACAACAACAAAAAAATCTGCTGCGTGATGTCGTTGCTTTATGAGGCTTTTGGTTGGTGAAATTATGGTGTCATTTTTCGTGTGGCAAACTAGATTAAAAAAAAAGTACTGTACACGTCGACTTCTTTTATATGGGTTGGTGAAAGGGAAGTTAGCTATGATGCAACACTGGAGGTTTAGGTGCACACGGGAGTTAGCCTGCTCTTGAACATTTATTTACCTTCTATGGTTTCCGAAGGACATTTGATAGGGTTGGAAAAATTACAAGATGAAATTAACAGAAGCAGCAATGGCAACGTGCAAGTCATTCACCTGTGTAGCATCTGAACTCAACTTAACTACTGCGCATCATCATTGCAGACACTGACGTACCTTTTTGCTGGCGGCGCCAACAGAGGATTTCTTGGTGCCTCGTACTTTCTTCATTCTGTTCTTGCGTTCCTTGCGTTGCTTCCTGGAGGTCTTCTTTTTCTCATAGAGACCGTGCTGAGGAACAGACGTTTGAAATTCATTTTTCACGTGGCAGCAAAACCGACTGAGGGGGAGTCAATCCCGATTTCTCATCCACCAAAAACGAATCTGGCTGGCCTGAAGGACACGATCGCCAACAACTATTTCAGTGGAACCGCCAAAGAGCTCTGTGAGCATGCAACTCAAACAGGTGTAATTGGCTTTTCCTTTGTAGCGTCACCACAGAAGCCAGAGGGCAAAGAGTAAATGTGTGATGATAACCAAAGAACAGGAAATGGAACTTGCTGGCACAGGAAGTGGCCTCGCTGCTTAGTTAAAGTCAATATCAAGAACAAGTGGGTCCTCAGCGTACGATGGATCCAACATACGAGGCTTCCAAGTTTCAAAATGTGCACAACGAACTACGCTGAACAAAACTGTAAACACAGCACTTTGGGGTGAACCATCATTTCAAGACCTGAACTCAAAGATGAAAGACTTCTATGTTTACAAAAGGCCAATTTCACCCAAATATTTTTCACAAATCTGTACAAATCCAGGATAGTGATGACTTCTCTTTGCAGCAATAACCCATCCATCTTATAGCTGTGTCATAAGATGCTCAATAGAGAGCGTGATTATTCCACAGGTGTGCCTTAAGATGCACACATAAGGTTACTTTAAAATTAAGTGTCTGGATCACTCAAAATAATAAAACAACATTTTTTGAAATGACAATTTTGGATTTGCCACTATGTCAGAAGTCATAACTTCTACCGCTTATTCTCACACGCGGCCCTGATGGTGCCAACAGCACCAGTATGGGTACAAATTAGAGCATGGAATTCCCAACAGTGTTGTGCCCAAACAAGCTCGATCATCGCAAAATCCCTTGCAAATGTGGACTTTTTTTTTTTCAAACTCACCCTGGCCAGTCTGTATTTGGGCTCATTTTTCTTTGCGTAATCTAGGGAGTCGTAGACCATGGCGAAGCCCGTTGTCTTGCCACCGCCAAACTGTGTCTTGAAGCCGAAGACGAACACGACGTCGGGGGTCGTCTTGTACATCTTGGCGAGCTTCTCCCGGATTTCAGTCTTTGGGACTGTGGCCTTGCCGGGATGCAGAACATCAACGACCTGGAAGACAGGTTTGCCAATGAATATAGGCGAAGCAGGTACGCCTGATTTGAGTGAGTCAAGGCACTTTGCATGTTATCTAGACTTGCCATTTGTTTCCTCTGAAGCAGCCGGTTCGTCATGAACTTGCGGGTCCTGACTGTAACTGTGTCGTTCTGAACAGAGGAACACAACACCATAAATGCGCTACATTCAAGCAAGTATCACCTGTCTCACGCTACCGTTACAAAGGACTTTTTGACGTGCAAAAGAATCGTTTTTTGAGATATTGTCGACCAAATGCACACAATACTATTACGAACAAGGGCCTCATTCCACAGAGTTCATCGCGAGTATGCTCACGTTAGCCTCCGAGGCGAGCCTTGAAATGTACGGTAGTCAATAAACGCGGAAACGGTAGTCTCGTGATAATTATATAAAAACCACAGGTCAGGACAATTATAGTTATGGGGAATTAAAAAAAAACTAAACGAAAAGAAATCCCAAAGCCATTACAAATAACACTGTGTCCCTTATTGACTGGTGACATGTCGGTTAGCATTTGGAAAAACTCGTTTCAGTTGCACTTAAACATATCGATATCGGTTCATTTTTACAGATTGGGGCATGTATTTTCACTTGGCCATGACAACACAAGTAACAATCAGACGATCGCCTCGATGATGAGTGGATTTTAGTTCTACTTTAGCCCTCAAGACTCACCATCTTGGCGGCGGCCTCTCTCAGGGACGTAGAAAAGGAGGAAGGACCTGCAGGCGACCGGATTAATGCCTGTCAGTAAATCGGTAAGCATCTACTGGATTTGCCTGATGTAAAATGAATTCAGGCCTAATGTTGAAAATAGAAGATGAAAACTTTAGAATTCACATTTCCCATGAGTAAATTAATTAACGAGGACCGACGATAAGATGTTCGGATGGATTATTACACATTCATTATAATTCCTTCGTTTGAAATTGATGACGATTACTCCGTTTTGAAATTGAGTATAACAAAATGGTCTGTACGGTCTGCGAATGGCTCTTGAAACCAAACAAAAATATTTTAATTATTTATCAAATCATAAGATGTCGTTTTCCCGTCCTCTAGTGTGTTCAGTAAGCTCTAACTTTGTGCAAATTTGTTAACGTAACCACTTCTGGTCAACTACTTGATTTGAAGCTGTGGGAAATCCCAATTAAGACTCTTTATCATGCGCAATAACTACAGGTACTTGGCGTTGAGTTCTTTCTGTAAAGGTCAAGCTAATGTTATTTTTTTTTTGGGGGGGGGGTGAAAAATGCACTTCAGCCACAAGCAAATGGCAGATGCGTGCAGAGAAAAGTATGTACAGTATATCAACTACAGAACTGTTCTTTGAAATATCAACCTTGGTAGACTGTGACTTTGCAGGCTTAAAGCAAACTGGATTTTCTAAACTGATTCAGTAGACACACAGTACACTAGTATTGTGCATTTGTATGGTACTTGTGCGTGTCATTTCTGGGTACTCTGGCTTCCGAGCATATTCCCAACATGTGGTTAAGTTAATTGAAGCCCGAAGGAAAACAAGAAAACTGTTTTTATATTACGTTTCAATTCACATATATTGCCCACAATTAAAAATTTATCCAAATACTGTATATGTTTAAACCCACCCCAAAAAAACTTCTTAAAATGACATGCAAATGCATTGAATCTAAACGTTAAATACAACTGAACTGCAGTTACGCAGTGATTCTTTCCCATATTGCCAGACTCCTGACAACCACCGGCCTTGTGCAATACCTTCTTAAACATGACCACCAAGAAAATGGAAAGCAAAAGAATAAAGACAATCACATTTGTTATGGAACTTTTATTGATCTTGTAGCAAGAGCGTTCACTGGCATTTTGACTTTCCTGAAAAAAGTGATCTAAAATCAAAGCTTGTTCCAAATCTTCTGTTGTTGTTTTAAATCAGACAATTTTTAGCCCTCATTGTCAAACCAAACCGATTTGAATTAAATTTACACTCAAAAATTTTGTTGCACAGAATAAATAATCGATTTGGGATGGAAAACGAGTATTTGAGTTGTATCTTCACCGTATAATGAACCAAATGACTGCGATGCGATGTTTGCCGTCACTCTTTTAAACTCCACATCTACAAACGAAAGCAAAAAGAAACCGCTTTCTTCAGTTTCTGAGTACAATGTCCACTGAAAAAAAAATAAACATCTCTTTCGCAGTAGTACAAAGTGATGATGACACAAACTTCATGTAGACTGATGTACTGCATTGCTTTAAAGTAAGGCGTGGGCACACTTACATGACCCCCCCGACCCCCCCAAAAAAAGGTCATTACAGTAGAATGGATTAAGGACACTGGGGGGCATTTTTGCAGATTATGGAATGGCACCATCAAGCTCAGAGACACTTTTGACAAATCTGAAGGTTTGCTCCACTTTCAATCAAACAAGACCCATAATACAGAAAACTGTCTTCTTCTTCTCCTTTCGGCTCGTCCCAGTCCAGGGGTTGCCACAGCGAGTCAGTAATTTCCATCCGTCCCTGTAAACCGTCCCATCAATTTCTGGATCTTTTCAAGTGTAGGAAAAGGATCTTCACCCCAAATCAAGGTTGGTGTCAAACAATTTCCCCATTAAATTAGATTATTCAAGTCAAGTATCACCTCCTTTCTTGCACCGTGGTTGCAAAATTAGGGGAATTTTCAAATAAGGACACTTTCCATGGGTGTGTAATGGCAATATATGGGAATTTAAGGGAAAACATGGATATTCATTCCGTGTATACAACGTTCATATATTTTGGGTTGTTCAATGACAAAACTAGATGGGAAAAAAATTTAAGATATTAAAATTTAAATTTCCTGCCTGTGTGCTAGTGATCACACAAAATGTTCATTGCACGTTATTTATACCAACAACTTCCTGTTAATTCCCATAACTTGCCTTTATAATTTTGATTTTTAAGTGTCCCACTTTGAAAATTTCCAAAATTTCACATCTGAACTCCCCATCTCAAAATGTCTCACTTTTTTCATATATATTATTCAATATAAAGCTTTCATTAGCAAAAACAAAGGCCTGTCATGCACTATTTAACCTGGAAGGTAAAATATATTAATTTGTACTTGCCAAAGACAATAATTGATTACAATTTCCAAATTTTATGAAATGGTGATCATCCACACAGACAAGATTGAGAAAAGTCAGAATATTGGTCAGAATTGATGTGCTCTGTGAATGAGCTCACTGCCATTCGTGTGTGTGTGTGTGTGTGTGTGTGTGTGTGTGTGTGTGAGAGAGAGAGAGAGTGTGTGTGGATGCATAATCATGATGCCAGCTCCCCTTGTTGTGTGGTTGAATGGTACAGCAGCTATTGAAATCTATTCAAATAAACCCAGTTTCTTGACCCCAGTACCAGACGGTATGTGCTGTATCCTCGTCATTTTTAAACACGCACGCACGCACGCGCGCGCACGCGCGCGCGCACACACACACACACACACACACACACACACGAACGACATCCGGCAGGAGCAAAGTGGAGAGCAAAAGAAGATGGGTGCCATGAGGGCTCAACAGCATGTTTTGTTTCTATAAGCCAAGCCACTGGCATGACAGGGCATGCCAGGTCAATTACTTGTTTCGGGTTGTTGTTTTTTTTTTTGTGTGTGTGCTGGTGCCAGTCTGTCAGATGTCCATTTCAAACTGAGCGTCGTCACCTAAACACAAACAGAGGCAAGGTGTTAAGACAGGGAATTGGAGAATGAATTCAAAAATACATACAAAATGCCTATGAGGAATGGCGCATACAATGTGGGTGTTAAAGTCACAATTTCAAGGGTTACAATTATTGTCACAGCTATGCTAATTTCCCTCTCTGGCTTTTCACATTATATTTCAGCATTAAGATAGCATACCTTGGATAGACGAAATCACCTGTCTATGCTTTGGTCATCCTTTCATGTGTAACTTTTACAGTATGTTTCAATTGGAACTTACAAATAAACACCTTGCTGGTGTATTATTATTATGTATGTAAGTGAAACTGGACTTGAAAATAAAATAAAAATGACTCCTACTGAAATACAGCAAAATGGCAAGAAATGTGTATGGTATTTGTCTTCGCTGGTTGTTACCATTCGTAGGCTTTCCGTCGTGATTGTTGACGTGGTTCTTGGCTTCATTCTTCCGGTTCTCATGGAGTGTGTTTTGACTGGTCACGCCGGGGATGACAGGCAGGTGAGCGGGCGGGGTCTGGGCCATGGGCGAATTACGCATATCCAGCAAGAACTTGCGGTCGTAGATGATTCGCGTTCCTGCAACGGGATACACAAGATAGGTTCAATTAAATATTTATTAATGATTTTATTGTGTACATTATTTGGTGGCCAACACCTTGTGGTTGTAGTTAGCATGTCTGCTTTACAGTTTTAAGTTTCAGGATTTGAATCTCAGTTCCGACCTTCTTGTGGCGAGCGCTTCTGGGTTTTTGTTTTTCAGCTTCCTCCAACATTCAAAAAATAATCTTCTATTGGATTGCAGTAGATGTTTCAACAGTGTTTTTTTTTGTTGTTGTTGTCATGGAGTGTGTTTTGACTGGTCACGCCGGGGATGACAGGCAGGTGAGCGGGCGGGGTCTGGGCCATGGGCGAATTACGCATATCCAGCAAGAACTTGCGGTCGTAGATGATTCGCGTTCCTGCAACGGGATACACAAGATAGGTTCAATTAAATATTTATTAATGATTTTATTGTGTACATTATTTGGTGGCCAACACCTTGTGGTTGTAGTTAGCATGTCTGCTTTACAGTTTTAAGTTTCAGGATTTGAATCTCAGTTCCGACCTTCTTGTGGCGAGCGCTTCTGGGTTTTTGTTTTTCAGCTTCCTCCAACATTCAAAAAATAATCTTCTATTGGATTGCAGTAGATGTTTCAACAGTGTTTTTTTTTGTTGTTGTTGTTTTTTTTTTTTTTTACTCATACAGTTCTTTAGTTCTTACAGTGTGAAATTTAGACTTATTTATTGAACACAAAGCTGATATATTTGCAGGGTGAAGATGACAAAGATGAGAGAGTATGTTTGGACACTGTATGTGTGGGGTTACATTTGTTGAATTTAATTTTTTTTAACAGGGCCTGAGTCATTTCAATATGAATGCTCAATATGTTCAATCGTACAAAGGTGATTGCACTTAAAAAGGACTTGAATAGTTTATCAGTGGCATTAAAAAAAACAAAACAACAACAACCAAACTGTCGTTTATTGTGATAGTTTATGGTAAAATATATCGTGACAGGCTTACAAATATTATTGCAAACTTTTAGGGTTTTTCGATTCAATTCGGTATAGGATCAGTATCGGAAGATCCTCAAGGCTGCAGTGTTGGTATCGGATATGAAAAAGTGGTATCGACTACCGAACCATCCCTAAAGTGGACACCATGTTGGTGACACCTGCTGTAAAGTGTGCTCGTCTTGATTAGTGAATGTTCAAAACAAAAACAACACAGTTAAAAAAAAAATCAATAAAAAACATAAAAATTGACACGAACGTAGTACAGTTAAAACCAAATACGTTGTTCTTTGCAGAGTTGGATTGTGTTTATGTGTTACTAATTTACAGTTTGTGACTAAGGTTTATGTCTGAAAATTCCCGAGGGTTTGATAAATAATGAATGACAACGTTTTAAGCGATTTGATAACGTCAAATATTTAACGTCACGATTCCTGCGCTGCAGAGGGGCCAATCAGAGATCACCAAAGAGGGTGAAGGCGGGACTAACATTGTTTTTGTTTTGGAGTGTATGACAAGGCAGCTCAAGACCACAATGACGGAAGCAGTGAGGATGTGAGGCTCGAGACTACCATCTATTTTCTTGTTTTAATAAGTTGAAGAGACGAGCCTTCTTACCTCCGGGAGTGGTAGAGAATAAAGTGCCTCCAGGGGTGGTACAATAGTCATGAGGTAGCTGCGTTGTGTCGTTGATCAACACCGTCCTGGTCGGGATGGCCCTGCTCTCGCTCAGCTGACGACTGTTCGACATTTTTCGGCGCCGCTTCGATGACAAATTCGGCTGCTACGGAAATTCGGGGTGCTTATCTCCCGACGGACGGTGTAAACCAGGGCCGTTCCCCGCTCTCTCTCGAGTCTTTCCAAGGGCTTTCTTGTCGCTCTTCGCGTCCACCCAGCCGTCAGCACCGTCCCCTCCCTCAGCAAGGCAGGAAGCAGAACGGGCAGCGGGCGGAAGTGACGTCGTAGGCACGGCCAGGAAGGCCACTTTTTTTTCGACATTAGTTTCATTATTCCCATTTAGTGATAGTACTGTACGTAAACGTGTAATAATACGAACAATAATAAAAAATAGTTGCGTGAATATAAACGATTTAACGTTTAAGATCCATATTGGATTTAACTGTATCGTAAAACAGGAGAAAGCAATGAAATGTATCGACGTAGTATACAAGTCTACCTAAAAAAGGACTACACAGTGAGAGTCCATTGTGACCTGTGTTTGCGGATTCCCGATTTTGAGTCTTTGCCTTATTTTTCCGACTAACTCGGCATTCTCCGACATTCCTTAAACGTCTCATCAGTACTGTACGCATGCGCATTGCCTTTCCGCTTGCCCTGTCTTGCTGTCCTCCTCTTCGACTCACTCCTCTTTGCCGCCGCCATCCCGCATCCGAGTGAGATTAACCTGCACTTAATCATGAGCTTCACCGTGGAAGAGAGGGGCATCCCCAACTCCCTGAGCTACCGCTTGTTCTTTAGTGAGTACAACGTCCATTGATTTTTTTTTTTATACGTTGGGGAGGAAAAAAAATGTTTGTAGTTTTCTTTAAGAGCTCGCGGTAACCTCCCACGTGTCACTTATTCGTCGAATGTCGCTATAAGATTTCATCATCTCGGTAAAAGTTTCCCTTGTGTTTCTTTTTTTTAATGATATTCTCATTGTATTTGGACTGTATAGGATTTCCATACTGAGTTGCGTTAAACCGGTTTCTCAGGTTATCGAAAATTGTAGTTGAAGGCTTCAAATTTGGGGGGTGTAACTCGTAACTAGTGTGGCAATCGCACGGGGAAATCTTGCAGGGTGGTTCCACACGTCATTAAGTTGAGAAGCATAAATATTTCCTGGTGGGACAACACCCTCTGATTACAGCACGCAGGCAGAATGCATTGGAGAGTCATGTCTAAGTCCAGTGAATGTTCTTAATTTTAGGGCGTTTGTCTCAACGACACCGTGCTGTCGTAGAGCAGCTATTATTAAACATTATTTCCCGTCTTAAATGAAACAATATGTTTTCCTGCCCCCATTGTTTTGCAGAGAATTCCGAGGGGAAGTACATCTCACCATTCCATGACATACCAATATATGCCAATGAGGGACAGGTACAGTAACATGTCTAATTAAATCACATTCTAAAGGAGACATGATGCGTTTATGACATCTGAAGTCATGCAAGTGTCTGAATAACATGTCTGTTCTGTGCTTTTGTCAAAGTACCTCATGGTTCAAGAAGGATAGGATACTTTCAACGCACTTTTCCATGTCTTGCTGAAATTAGGCAGCTTTGAGTGCTGTCCTGTCCCCGGACATTGCTAGTTCATTGGACAGTTTGGCTTTTGTTACAAGTGTTTTTGCGTATGGCATGCAGGCTAAAAAAGCGAGTGGATTGTTCTTTCACTCATGGAGGCCATAACTCACCCCTAAACTGCTGAATTATACATGTCTATTTCGTATTGCCAACACACAATTACGCCCCACCCCATCGCATCGTCAACTTTACCGAACAATCAAGTATGTGCCGCTTATCAGAAGTTAACACTAATCAGTGCATCCCGAAAAAAAAAAAAAAAATCAGTATAACACTTCTTGCCTTTTGGATTTGACATGATAGTGTTTAAAATAGCGTAAGGCAGCCATGGTTTGCAAATGGCAGGGCTTCATGTTCATGCATGGAGAAACTTGCCGTGGGGGCGGTTATTTTGTTAATAGTGACGTCACATTTCACAAAACTCAGGTCTCATTTTCTGAAATGGGCAAATATTGAAAGATTTAATTGGGAGTTAAATGCCACACTAGATGAGCAAACAAGCACTCCAGAGAACTATTTGTATACAACCAATCACAGAGTCAATTTTCTATATGTCATTTTAAGGTCACAATTTCATGTTAAAATGCTTTCACGCAGGCTTGCCCCCGCATTACATTAGGTAATGTTTTCCAGAACGAGTGAGGTCATAGTCTAGCGCACCTTGATATCATGTCTTACTCATCTCTTGTGGCCGTAAGAGTCTGTATAAATGTCATTATCCTACTAAAATTGCGTATTAAAAAAAGTAACAACGATGGGAAATAAATACACACATTGGATTTCTCTCTCTTCAGAAAATCTTTCACATGGTGGTGGAAGTACCGAGATGGACAAATGCAAAGATGGAGGTAAGATTACGGTTTTGTGTAAAAATTAATTAAGGTTGTAAAAAAAAAAAAAAAAAATTAAATTATAATTTATTATTATAATTATTATAGCGATGTACACATACAACAACTAAGCATATATGCAAATGTCAATGTCTTCTCAGAGAAACAGGAGTCCAGTTGCAATCGATTCAGTACTCCGAGAAAGAAATCATATGATGAATAAGAATATCCACAAGCAAATTAAATAAATGTTAACAATACATTGCATGGACATTCTACAGGAAGTTACAAGGATAAATTGGTCTGTAACATTCAATCACAAATGTGGTAGGTGCTTTATAACTAAATCAGTCAAAATGAGATTAAATTTGTTTCAAACAACAACGGTCTCCCCATGATGTTGAAGGATGTTTTATTTTGTTCAATGTTCATCTTCTCTTGATGTTACTTGATTAAAACGCTGCTTAATTGGAAAAAAAAAACAACTTTTGTCCTTTCAACATACTTGCAGTGTACAGTGTAATGAAATGGCAGTAAGTGTAATAATAGAAGACAACTTATGAACAGTGCACATTTTGTATACAGTATTTTGAAACTCCAACTTATTCAACTATTATTGATTAATTATAACCATTGTGGCGGTTCAGCAATGACTACAACAGTGTATAGCTGTATTTACATTTACAATCAGAATACAGTGGAAATGACAACAGGTGACAGACACTGTACACAGGCATTATGATAGCTCATATAATTTGATAGTGAGCGAATTGAGCGCTAACAACTGTGCTATTCTCTTTCTAGATCGCCACAAAGGACCTTCTGAACCCAATAAAACAGGATGTGAAGAAGGGCAAGCTGCGCTATGTCGCTAATGTTTTCCCACATAAAGGCTACATTTGGAACTATGGAGCCATTCCTCAGGTCAGCGTGTTTTCTTTATACTCATTAGGGATTTGCCGATCACGCTTTTTTGGCACCTGAGTGCTTGGTTTAAGTATCTTCTGATACCAAGTCCAATCCAATACCTCGGCAATGCGTTATGAAAAAAAAGAGCACTTTACTCAAATTAATATACAAGTATACATTCATCAATATGTACAGGTATATGTTTTATGTTGTTATATATATTTAGATAGATAATGTGGACCATTCTGTAATAATTCAAAGTGCTGCATTTTTTTCCTCTCTTTTTTTTTAAGCACTAAATTTGACGATAGACATATTGAACATTTCAATATGTATTGGTTAATCTCCCAACTTGTTTTATCATGTCAGATTTTTGTGCTGAAACTCTGAGTGGGGTTTTAGCATAAAAGTAGCATATACAGCCACTATAGCCACGACATTCACGACAACTGAATGTTGACTTTAAACACAATCTATATCAATAAGCAGGACGGTTTATAAACAATTATTTTCATGTAAATGCCCGGGGACACGTTTGAAACCAGTTAGGTGATGTCGGTCGGACGTCTCACAACTGCTAACCTGTCTGTCGCACTCGCGGCTCTCTCAACTCTTTGACGATGCCGTTGAGCGAGGAGGCTTCGTAATATCAGGCAATGCAGACTTATTTCGGAGCATCTTTCTTTCGGCTTATTTCTCCCTTCAAATGAGCTATGAAGACAGAGAGAGCCACCGCTCTGTCTCTGCCTGCAGCAGAGTTGTGCGCTGCGTAGGACACGTGCATGTCACAAGAACTGCATCGCTACAAAAAACAAAAGTTGACATTGTGAAATATAAAGCGTAGCCACTACTGTTCTATTTGGCAATATATTTGCACATTCGGATTATTTTGTAACTGTGTGACCTTTATGTTCAGATAATAATAAAACCGATCTTTTTCACCTCTTACCAGTGATCGATTCCAATTTATGATCACGTGATCGCTAGTCATCATTTTTAAACAGATTTTGCTGATTTGTCCTGTTTTATTTTAGACGTGGGAAGACCCAAAGCACAAAGACAAAAACACCGGCTGCCACGGGGACAATGACCCCATTGACATCTGTGAAATCGGCTCCAAGGTGTGTATATAGACATTTAAAGGGCTATTTCTAGCAGCTGTTGACCAGTTCTTTCATCTTGACAAGTGTGTACACGTGACGGTCAGGTGTGTTCCCGTGGTGAGGTGATCAAAGTAAAGGTGCTCGGAGTCCTGGCTATGATCGACGAGGGTGAGACTGACTGGAAAGTGATTGCAATCAACGTCGAGGACCCTGAAGCCAATGAACTCAACAGTAAGCATGACTCCTCATTGACTTTAGTCTTTTTTTTTTTTCATGCATTTTGATCGTGTTTGTCCCCACCTTTAGACATCAGTGATGTTGACAGGTTGAAGCCCGGCTATCTGAAGTCCACAGTTGACTGGTTCAAGAGGTACAAAGTCCCCGATGGCAAGCCGGAGAATAAATTCGCTTTCAATGAGGAATTCAAGGACAAGGTCTCTCTCTCTTTTTTTTTTATTTTTTTTTTTAAACACTTCATCATTTAGTCTTTAGTTATACAGTTTAAGCAGGCAGGCTTCTTCTTCTAGAAAAGTGAGGAATTAATTTATAAATGACATGACACCTTAAAACAAATCTTAGCCCTTAATTAGAATTCAATCCTGGGTGATTTTATTTCAGGCAAAAATTTGAGTAAAAATAACAAATATGCGTAGGATAACCTAAAATTGTATTTTTGAAAGTCTAACTATAGTCTGTAATTGAGTTAATGAAATGTATTAATTGCTTTGGGTGTGAATGAGTTAACAAAATATGGATTACATTTTTATATTCATCTTTTAGTCACCAGGTGCATGGCTTGAAAAAAAAATACATCGCTCTCCAAATGGGTAGGGAGGGGAAAAAAAGAGTCGTAACTGCAATTACCCCAATTCATCGAAGCTGATGTTCACACATGGAGACTTTTGAGTTCACTGCAGTGCCTAATTTGAACTTTGTGAGCCAAAAGGGCAGCAATTAACTAGTCAAGCGACCAGTCTCTCGGTTCAATCAGAGTATGGTGGAGTCCTACCACATGACCGAATGATGTCATGCTCTTAATTGTTTATGGTTGCCAGGAAATAGGGTAGAGCTATGCACATTTTTGACATGGTGAAAATAGTGCCAAAAAAGTTTTTATTAAATGAATGTTTTATTGGGTATCAAGGAGTGTTGTTATTTGGCCTTTTTAATCTTATTAAAATGTCAGATACAATTAACATATAGTAAATACATATTTTTGGGGTTCTGGCTCACCGCATTCGTGACTAAATGACGTACTGTGTTGTGTTTTTAGGATTTTGCCATCGAAGTCATCAAGAGCACACACAACTTCTGGAAAGCTCTGATTTGCCAACAGACCGATGGTGGTGAACTGAACTGGTAGATAAATTGCTGTATAATATTTTTTAAACATACCACTTGCTTGTGTTTATTTGTAAATATTTTTTCTTACAAACTACAGCAAAAACACCTGCATCTCATCAGGTGACAGCCCTTTCTGCTGCTCCGTGAACGAGGCTCAAGCTGCTATCGGGGACGTACGTACTTTTTAAAACATTTATGATAAGAAAAAGATGCTGTATTGCATTTATATCATCGTCACATTCTTTTATTCTGTATTGTCAGGCATGCCCTTGTGAAAAGGAGGAGCCTATCCCTTCATCAGGTAGCATATTGATAATGTCTGCATGGAGTTCATTGATTTTTCTGACTGACTGTGTGTTTTAATCTGCTCTTTCTTCTATTGACAGTCGATAAATGGTTTTACTACGACAAGGTGTAATCTTCAGGCTGACCGCATGGAAGAACAAAGCGAACATTTCATTTGTCATAGGCTTATTTGATGACAGGAACCGTTGTAACAGTGGAATGAGACATTGCAGGTTTTGTAGGGTGTCTGTCTTCCTTATAGAAATGTGAGACACTGTCTAGAGGTTATTGCAATAAGGAAAAAAATAGTACATATTAATTAATTAATAATTCTTCCCTTATTTATCAAAACTTTCTCTACACATGAGGTGTAGGTTTGGAACTGACACAGGTACGACACTTATTAATGTGTGCCATGTAAGATACACTGAACTGCTTTAATAAAGATACCCCTATGTAAATTATCAATGAGCTGGAATTTATTTATTTTTACGCGCGCGCACACACACACACGCACACGTATATCAATGTGGTCGCGTAGTAATGGTGCCACCTAGTGTTCACTATTAAAAAATACTTTCCCTTAATACATAAGTGTATTTTTTGTTTTATTTTTATTTTGTTTTGTAATATTTTGCCATTCTTACTTTCTCTTTTTTATTAGATCACTTAAAAAAGAAAAAAACATGAAAAAAGTTTAAATTGTTTCATTGTAATTTTTTAGCATTCTAGTATTACACACTAAATATTGTTGTAGCCTTGTATTTGTCAGCCATGCATTTAAAATCTGCATTAGAATGTTTCTTGAAATGTTTTGTATGACATGGTGACTTGTATTGTGAAAATGTTCCTCAAAACTTTATTTAACCAAGTAATCTAAATATTACGTTAAACGATCACGTATTACGTGAGAGACGTACCAAATGAGAGAAAAATACAAACACAAAAATTAATTTGTATAAATATATTAAATCTTCGATATTTAGTGAATACATCAAGTATATAGTTTTTATTTTGAAACAAGACTGTTCAAATCGTGAGTTAGCAAACAGGCTAGCGCGATGACGCACTTCCGGTTAAATGTCAAACTTGCGTAGTGCTTTACAGCTGACGGGACAGGCGGACGTTGGCACCATAAACTGGTCGGAACAAGGTAGTTATTGATTAACTTTCTCTGGCTAGCTCGAGTTTGCATAATCGTGTCAGTTTCTACGACCAGACTCGAACTTCGTTGTTTCTTTCTGGACTTTTCTGCTCGTTTGTTTACTTAAGAGGTTGTTATTGTTTATTTTGGGGCGGTGAAACGTTTGGTTCCCTCTTGCGATTAACTAAAACCGGCTGTCCTCACTGAATAACAATAGCAAACTGCTTATGTTGATCTCATTGTATAAAACTTGTCCGTGCACATACAAAAAAAAAATTCAATAAGGAAGCTCTTAAATGAGAAAATAACGACATGGCTACGGTTAATCGTAATATGGGCATCCATAAACGATAAACTATGTGGGAATTTGAAGCGAAACTGGTTCGTTTAGTGACATTTTCCTCAAAGGAGGCCTCATATGCAGTGGATTAAGCCACAGAGTTGCATACAGCGTGACAGGTGTATGAGTGTGTGACAAAAAGCCTTCTGGATATCAAGTGTCCTCGCTACAACTTGTCATAATAAAAATAGTCCGTGGATGATCAGCGGGTGTCTGTCTGAGAAAATAAACTAACGAAGTGTTTTCTTTTATTTCTCTTAAGGAAGCTGTGATTATTAAGTCTACTGAACACAACTTTATTTATAGAGCATTTTACCAACAGTTAGTTCTAACAAAGTGCTGTCTGTACATGAAGCATATGACAGAAAATAAACTACTACTACTAAAACTAATAATAATAATAATAATAATTACAAGGAAATACGTCTTTTTTCTTTCCGCTCTTTTTTCTTACAGCTTACGCATACCAGCAGTATTATAAGGCTCAAGAAAAAAAAGCGGCCTACTTGGAGATTTTGCAGTACGGTCAGCAATACTTCAGTAATTCTAGCTCATTTTTTAATGTTCTGTGATTAATTTATGCTTATCTCCACTACAGACAGTCCAGCACAATGTCTTTTATTTTCGACTGGCTCTACAGAGGCTTCAGTGGTGTCCTGCAATTGTTAGGTATTGTGAAAAATGAGTAACATTGTTTTAAAAAAAAAAACTCATTCTATACAGTGGAACTTCTAAGGTTGAAGAAAATTTGTTCCGTCATCTTCTGCCCGATTTTTTTCAAATTAAGGGCAGTTTTCCCCATTGGACAAAATGGAAAGTGAAGCAATCCCTTCTGTTGCTACCATAATATATTCCTAATGCCCATGAAAGTTAGCACATGACAATTCTCCCCAAAGAAGCTAATACAATTTGGATTAATTTGTTCCAAGGTCAAACTATTGCTATCTAAAATATTTCTTAAAAGTACAGGCGAATTAGACTCAATTTTTTAACATTCCTGACCGTCAAGCGTAAAAAAATAAATTAAAAATTACCTCTTTTACCTAAATGTGTCCTCACCATTACTTGAGTGGAGGCGTGCATGCGACTGGGATGTGAGTCTCTTCACTTCACGACAAAATGAAGCTGACTTTCTGGCGTACATTCTGTACTTTTATTGCTTTGGACTTAGTCGATCTATATAACGTGTCGCGCAATGTTTAATGTCCTGTTCGACAGTTATGGTTACTAATTCTCCTCTTGCCCCCCCCCTTGCCATCACCAGAATCAATTACAAAAATCGGGAGGTCAGCATTTCACATTTTCAACATTTAGAGGTGTTTAATTTGGAGGTTCCACAGTATCCTTCGTACAAGTCAATGATCATAAAACAGATTATTCCTTACCTAAATACTTTATTATAACTGTGCAGGGCTGTCTAAGAAGTCTGGCAAGTTGGTCTTCCTCGGATTGGACAATGCCGGCAAAACTACACTACTGCACATGCTCAGAGACGACAGACTGGGCCAGCATGTACCCACACTGCACCCAAGTATCTATCTATCTATCTATCTATCTATCTATCTATCCATCAATCCATCAATCCATCAATCCATCCACTCACTCATCTATCAATCATTCCATCCATCCATCATTCAACATAGCCAACATTTGCCCATCTTTCCATCATTCATCCTTCATCCCTCCATCTTTTCATCCATCCATCTGTTTGTATATATAATCTATCCACCGAACTATTCTCATCTATCATCCATCCGTCCTTACTGTATATCAATCGAATCATCATGTCTGTCCTCAGCATCTGAGGAGCTGACCATCGCTGGAATGACTTTTACCACATTTGACCTGGGCGGTCACACGCAAGGTAAGGAAAAAAGGGATAATGTTTGGTCATACATCTTTAATAATAAATGTCTTTTTTTTTTTTTAAATTGGTTTTAGCACGACGCATCTGGAAAAATTACCTCCCAGCCATAAACGGTATTGTTTACATGGTTGACTGTGCTGATCGTGAGCGACTACCTGAGGCTAAAGTGGAGTTGGATGTGCGTTTGAATCTTACCTTTTGTCACACATTCATAGTCATATATAAATGTGACTCTTCTACTTTGTTCAGGCGCTTTTGACAGATGACACCATCTCAAACGTGCCAGTTCTCATCCTTGGAAACAAAATCGATCGTCCGGAGGCCATCAGCGAGGATGCGCTCCGAGGGATGTTTGGTCTCCATGGACACACGACTGGAAAGGTGACCAACACATGCCATGAACCTCGATGAAAGATTTGTTTTTTTTTTCTTTTACTTGACCTTTATTTATCCGGCTATGCCACTCTGGCCGCAGGCTAGCATAAACATGTATATAACAGCATTTAGCAATTAATAAATTTATTTCTTTTCTTTTCTCCTGAAGCCCCATCTTCTCGTCCGATCCTTTTTTTTTTTTTTTTACATGCACATAAAAATGCCATTGACAAAGAAGATGTTATCAAGGTTTTGCTGCCCTTATAAAATTGTCTTATATTTCTTTTTTAGGGCAAAGTGTCACTGAAGGAGCTTAATTTGAGGCCAATGGAGATTTTTATGTGCAGTGTGCTGAAGAGACAAGGATATGGAGAAGGATTTCGCTGGCTGTCCCAATACATTGACTGATTTAATGCTAATTAATCCAAAATATGAGTGCTGATTTACAAAACAACACCATCTGTAATCTGGGAAATATTTTATTTACATACCCTCAGAATTTTGACCATGTCAGCTGGGAATGTGGGCAATATTCTTTGCTAGAAAAACATCATACCACAAAAAGTCAAAGACAACTTTTTGAGCGTAGCCAAGGATCTTCATGCTGTGTAATTTTTACCTTTGGGTGCCACAGAGAAAGCGTCATCAACGGCGAGTCAGCTTCTGACCCGCTGCTTATTTTTAGCGGCTGGTATTGACTTACAGCAAAGGTCGGTTTGTTTAAAGTTTTGCGGACTGTCCAAAGACACACATTGGTGCCATTGAAGCACATGTTGAATTGTGTATCCAATCGCTCACCTGAAATGGATGGGATTTTTTTTTTTTGATTGGGGGGGGTGGGGGGGGATTTTTGAAAGCAGGGTTTACCACTAAAAGTGCAAAGTGCTTTAATATACTTTTTTTTTTTTTGCTCTGAGATTCACTATGACAGTGCAATTTTATATAGTTGAAGTATATGATAAAGGTTGCTTGGATAATTGCTATGACAAGACTGGAGTACTTTGTGATTAGTAACTGCTCACCACATACAGCAATATTATGAGAGTACTCCCATGGTGGTGCTTGAAATCAGGGTATAAAAGTATATACGTGTGAAAGGATTGGTTGATGTGTGTTTAAATATTATTTGTACATGAATAATTATTTATATATTTACATAATGGAAGCCAAGTTGACTCTAAAGAGGTTACAAAAGATGGATCAAATTTTTATTGGAGCTGGGTCAGAATAAACTCTTTCTACAAACGTCTTGTTTCTTTCTATTAATATTTGAAACATTTTCAAGGAAAATCATATTATACAATTTTATATGTCCCGAGACAACATTCACATCATTATTATATCGTATGTTGTGAAAAAATATACAGGTATTTAAATATATTACATAATATCTGCCTTTTTGATTTCCATTGGCTCTTTCTAGCTTTGGGATGGGCAATTTTTCTTCCGTGGTAGTGGGGGCCCACTTCCAAAAAAGGATGGCACCTAACCGGGGCAGGGGGGTGGGCTATACCCCCGTCAGAAATCTATGGAGGCCCAGTTAAGCCCCTCCAGGCTATTATTCTATATTCTAATATCTATTTAAATGATTTACTCAGCCCCACTATGTATTGGTCAAGCCCTCCTTTAGCCCTGGGAGGAAAAAACTTCGAGTTATGAAGGATGGATGAATGGTTCGTTCCAGCCAATCACCATAACGGGTAACCATCGTCCTTCCCACGAGCCATTCAGTGAATTATATTTTCACACCAAACTGCATTTGAATCTAGCATTAATGTATTATATTATAGGTAATACATACAATTTAAAATACGACAGAAAGGTATACGTCACGATTATTTAACAAATGACAAATTTAGTGAAGAAAACGCACTGGAAACCCCGCCTTCTCAATGCTCATTGACCCTTTCTAGCCAATCACAATAGCAAGTCAGTGCCGTCACTTCTCGCGAGTCAATGAGACGAGACCAGGAAGTTCACCAGTACTGAAGTAACAGAACCACTTATTTTTTAAACTTTCGGGTTCAAATTGGTCATGACGAGTCTGTTTAAACATTTTAGTGTGATGGTTGCGTCGCCTCTGTGTGAGGATTTTCAAACGTTACATTTCAACGTGTCTTCTAGTGGTTAAACATCGTTAAACGTCAACATGAGCAAAGTTCATCTGCTTGGCTAACACCATGGAGGTAGAAGACGTGGAGAGGTGCTGCTGTGTTGTTACCTTGAATGAAGCATTTTCTGCCCCCGCGCCCGTAAGCTTTAGCGCTGTTGTCATCCATCCCACCACCGGAGTGGTGATATCCACCGGACTGCCGTTTTTTCGTTTCATTATAGACAAAAAGTCCTCTTATGCCAGCGAACGTCGCTTCCTGTTACGTCACAACTTCCGCGTCCACCTTAAAATCGACATCAGCTTTCCTTCCCGGAGTCACGTGGAGGCCAATGCATGTGGAGTGAGTGAAGTTGGCCCACCCAGCACAAGACACAGGAGAGATGAGCAAGGAGCTGAGTTGCTGATGCTGGTCAACTGTGTGGAGTTCAAAAAGACTTTCCAGACACTTTTCCATAAGGCTGACCAGTGGCGTTTCCATGGCGATGATGATGACGACCTTTTTCGAGATGCTGACTGCCTCAGTTGGTTCGCTATACTCAAGGCAGACAAGCCACATCCAGGTACCGTCTCCTGGCGAAGGAGCACGTGTCTTCAGAAAGGCTCCCCGGTCATCGCCTGCGGCTCGCCGTTTGGTTCCCTCTGCTCTGACCTCTTCAATGGCACTGTGAGCAAGGGCATCATCAGCAACTTGGCGGGCGAGGACAACGCCATCATCCTCACAGATGCCCGCTGCTTGCCAGGCACAGAAGGCGGTGGCTTGTTCACGATGGAAAATGACTCCCTGTACCTGGTCGGAGTGATAGTGTCACCATTTGGCTGGAAGGCCAACGAGTGGATCGGACTCACGCTTGTTTGTTCTGTCCACTCAATCCTCCGGAATATTGTTCAATGTGGCGACATTCAGGATCTGCTCCATGATGTCTGGCTTCACCCCGCAGAGGTCTTTACGACCCGAAAGGCCAATGCAGGTCCATATCCGAATGTGTGCTTGGTGGACAGCGGGCAGCACTGGGGATCAGGGGTCCTTGTCACCCCTGAACTTATTCAAACCTGCCGACACGTCGTCAACGGGAAGTCCACAGTCGCCCTCAAGTTTCACCACAGAGCCAGGTGCACGGTATAAAGGGGGAACCGTACTGTGAAAGACCATTGCTATTTTACACTTATCAAAATGTTTAGACTGTAATTACTTTCATTAGTACCGTGTTCTCCGTATACTTGTCATTTGCAAATTCACTTCTTCCCATATTTTTTTCCGCACTTGTCCTATTTTATTATTTTTTTTCTGGTGAATGTTTTTATGCATCCCAGAGTCCTCGACACTTTTGGCGACGTCCTGTTCTCCACTAAGGCATCATCGCCCTACGACGTCGCTGTGGTGCGGTCCAGAGAATCCATCTTTGACGTCGTCATTCCTCAAATGGCTCACGAGTTCAACACAGGTTTGTTAGTGTATCACTAGCTTAATGTTGAGGGTGTCACACATAGCAAATTTTGCAGCAACGTGGAGTTATTGTTCATGTGAACCTGGTAAACTGACATCAACATTTGCCTCATAACTCATATTGTATTTTTATTTGTCAATACAGTGAAACCCTAATCTTTACAGGGGATCTGTTCCAGACCCATCCACGAATGTGTGATGTAGAGAGACCAAAACATACTTCGACAAGCTTGAAACACATTTGTACTTACACTTTTTAAACACATTGCAAACCTATTTCAACCTCTCCCAAAAATCACAAGTATAAAATATATGGAAAGTGCTATACATATTGTAATGTCTTCATATGAACGTGCCTTGTGGGGCGGTGTGGCATGATGCCAGTCTGCGATATGCTCTGTGAAAAGTTATATATATCTATAGCGCGGGGACACAAACAATGAACTCTGATATCGTGGCGATTTCTTGTTTTGGTGCATTTTGTGCCCAGGTGGAAGAGAAACCCTGTAAAATGAAAACAATTTTTTTGCCATTTCCACCTGCAGGTGAATCTGTGTTGGTGGTGGGCTACGGCGGGCTTGGTCGCTGGTGTGGCCCGTCGTTGACTTGCGGTGTCCTTTCCAAAGCCATCCGTCACCACAACCGTACCATCATGCTTCAGACCACCTGTGCAGTTCAGGCAGGGACCAGTGGGGGCGCTGTCATACGAGCATCCACGGGAGAGCTTCTTGGTAATAAGCCTGCTCTAAGAAAACTGAGACATAAAGTACACTCTTTACTTAAATAGAAGTAAAGATACCTAAATTGAAATTGGGATTTCAATTTAGCCTTTACAGCTGTTGAAAACATGAATTGAAGCAAAACATTTAATATGTCAAACTGCATTGTGTGTTTCCTAGCTCTCAACGTTGTGAAACTTCCTTGAATGCACCATGTTGCTCGTGCTATTTTGGAGAGGAGAGTAGATAGTACAGATTGGGACTGAACTCTGTCCCGAATGGTGAAAATCCATGAATGACTGATGCTCGCTGTAACTGAAAAATACACTAAATTACAATACATGTAATTTGCACTTTTTTTTTTTTTTTTAAATGAAGTGACAAAACAATGAATGAGAATACAGTTTGAGCACGTCTTATCGTTGCAGGCATCGTTTCCAGCAACACGAGGGACTTGGCCTCCAAAGTGACCTACCCTCACCTTAACTTTTGCATCCCAGTAAGCATGCTGGACGGGCCTCTTCTTCACTTAAGTCGGCTTGGGGACGTGAGGATGTTTGACGTGCTGGATGTTGCAGAAGAACAAGTGAAAAGAGTGTGGAGGCTACAAGGTACACCAAGCAAATTGTGAATTGTGTCCCTGTGTCATACGAACACTGGAACTAGCCTGTTTGGCACAATTTATTAAATATAAATTACATTCATCAGCAGAGAACACTTTGAGCACTTCCAAATGATGCAAAAAATTCAGATTTATGGGGAATTGCCTTTCAATTCATGCTCATACTGCAATGTTATAAAACAAGAAGTTGCTCAATCATGGCAACCCCTTAGCGCCACCCCTGGTTGTCATTATTACGAATGCCCATTGGCCCCGTAGTACACATGGGCGGGGTGAGCAGTGCCTCACAAAACGGAATAATTTCAACTCAAGTGTTATAAGTGCACGTGTGCTGTAATCCTTTAACCTTTAAAAAAAAAAGGATTTCCTTTCAAACATTGCCTGTACAGATCAGGAGATGAAAAATAAAAGCTACTCGTGAACCAGCATATGTTACATTTTGCTCTGTTATCATGGTAACAACATTTTTTTCAATTTAGTTGACAGTCATGTCACCGTAGCTGATAAATGAGTGTTGGGGAACTTGTTTGCTCACTCATATGTTTGGATTTTCTCTGTCGTTCCTTTTTCGCCGAGCTGGAAATATGTCAGCACATTAAAGCGCTCAAGTAATAATTGGCTGACAGGTTGCACAGAATGATTGGTCCCGTTGGGTAACAGACACTGAGACATCTGCTAGAGGGGATCGCCCGCTCCCAGCACAACACATTTCGAAGTTCTCGCCTACGAAGGATCCGTGCGGCACAGATAACTCAGGCTTCAAGATTTAATGTCAGCAGACACATTGAATAGGGATTTGACATGAGCGTCAAGTTTCACGTCAATGTTCTGCATCTCCAGTGGTGACTCTTTTGTTATCTTGTAAGAACCCCCAAAATATTTGGGTTTTTTTTTTTAAAGATGGTTGAAAACACAATGATGACAGTTGTGCGTGGACTCATTCATATACCAAAAAAAAAAACAACAATCTCAATAGTTCAGACTACGACTGCTTGGATAAAATATTACTTTGTAATATTAGAAGTAAAAAGTCTTAATCAGATCCATAACTAAAATGTGATATGGTGAGAAAAGCTTTCATTTTAACAGGATAAATCATACCTTGACAAGAAAATTTGTTGGAATATTATTATATAATATTGGAATAATTTAAATCATTGAGTTGTAAAAAAAAAAAAAAATCACCATTTTATAAGTGTTGCAATATGAGGGAAAAAAGTCATCCTATGAAAATGAAGCCGTAAATTATGAGAAACCTCACAAGGTTGCAATATTATGAGAAAGAAGTCATGATCGGAGGAAATTGGAAAATATTTTTTTCTTTTCACTTTGTCACTCATTGCCACTAGCAGCAGGAAGCGAACACGTAAACCACACAAGATATTCAGACCAAGACTCCAATGTACGGTGGCCAGCTGGGGCCACACACACTCACGTTTATTGAATGCTTATCATTTCCTTTTTTAATAAACACAACAACCGACCCACACGACGATACAATGTACACTTGTCGCCGAAGAAAAGAGGAGCCCTCGGCGGCGACCTCTTTTCTGGTACACAATGTGACTTGACGTTATTTACAAGCTGCGGAGTGACGCACTAGGAATGAGACAGCACTACTGTCACATTGGAGCTGAAGCGCAATGAGATGAGGACGGTAAAGTCAAAGTCAATGTCCTCTCTATAGTTGCCACTTAAAAAACAAAAAAAAAACAAGACAAAATGTTTCTAGTCTAATGAAAGCAACGAGAAATGGTCGGCCATTTTAAACTACCGGAAAGCTGCTCAAAATCTGCTAGAAATCAAACGTACGTACAAGAGAATAGAACGAAGATTCACAAATATGAGGGACAAGCTTTTTGACTGCACACCCCACGATTACTGCTAGTGATATGTTCCCCTTTCAACATCCACCCTGCGCGTCTCCGCCGTTGTTTGTGTGTTTTTGGAACATGGAGATGGCGTTGGAAAAAGAGAGGCTGCAAGGACAAACGCTCGACCCTTTACCAGATGTAGCCCTCGTCATCCGCCTCTCCCGCCTCGCTCTCTTCTTCCTCGGCCTCCTCGGCGGTCTCCTCGCCGCCTTTCTCTTCCTCGTCCTCCCAGCCCACGCTGCTACCAAAGTCGCCCGAATACGCGGCTTCTTCGTCTACGTATATTGGGGTTAAAAAAAAAAAAAAAAAAAATCAGCATTGTTGTACAGAAGTCCTTTGACTTTTTTTTTTAGTTGGGGGGGGTTAATTTGCATGCCAATATTTAACATCCGGGTGAGTTTCAGATACACACTATATGGCCACTACATGGCGGCAGCGAACTTCACGACATCCGATCACCATCGGCACACGTCTCAGAAACGGATGATGTCCATTGATTTAGAACTTGAAATGACAGAAAACCGTGAGGAATTTATTTATTTTGATGCTGAAAGTCGTGCGTAAAATGGGCAATGAACGGTGAATAAGATTAAGTTAGTAGTACCACTATACCGTACAGTATTCAGCATTTGATGCATTCGGCACATCTACACATTCTCATCAGGCCCAAGAGCCGTTTGAAAGATTCTGCCCTTGTTCATGTCACAATGGTAATTAGTGTGTTCTATAGGCTGTATTGTCTCCATGTTTTTCTTGTTTGTAACGTAATTATTCCTCCATTGTATATTCTTTTGTGTTCTGGGAGAAGTGAATCAAAGTCATACTGTACAGCACATACAGTTGATGCGACTATATACAAAAGTTCGAAATGTTGTTAGGTCTTAGTTTGTATGCGAAAACAAACATTGGGGGGGGGAGATTAAATTTGTGTTTAGCCTTAAAAAGGTAATCACGCAACAACGGGGATTAGTGGTACATAAAAAGGATTTTTAAAAAATAATTCAAAAGGTACCCTGCCTCTCAAGCACGATAGGAAATAGATGCGTAATAAAACAATTTGAGATTATATACTGTATTTCTTAAAAGATAGATTTTGTGAACATTATTATCTTTAAACACAGATTTTTATTTTTTTTATCTTGCATTTGTATGAGATCTTATTAGATTGTTCCAGTGAGTGAGTGAATGTGTATGTATATTCTAGCATTACATCTGCAGCATTGTCCTTCAGTTCACTTTGAACAAGTGCACACTTTCCTAATGAGAAGTAGTGGAATGGAAGCAGAAACAGTGGTGAAATAAGGATAGGAGTTTGACTTTGTGCTGATTTGAGAGTTATTTCCTAAGCCCCCGACGCAGGAACAGTTCTTATCGGGAGAAGGTTCTGTCTGAGCAGCCCTCATTTATCTTGAAAAGACTTTTCTCGCAGTAACAAAACATGCTTTGGAATGCAAATGACCGCCCGATGCATGAATGTGCTCTTTGCAGCGAGGGGAAAGTCACTTGACATAAAAGATACCTTGTGTTGGCTGGACTGCAGGGAGGGGGTTAATCCAAAGGGATGCGAAGGCAATGGGGTGGGTGGGGGGGCTCAAATGAGTGGATTTTTCGCGGGGGGAGGAACTCACCGCAATCTGGTTTTCCACGAATCCTTGAGCCAGCTACTTCGCCGCCGTACTGGTCCACGCACCAGCATTCTCCCCTGTCACACTGCAGCTTCCTGTAGAAGCCGTCTTCATCACAGTTTGGGATGAAGCGACCTGGCAAATGTTCACACACACACACACACACACACACACACACACACACACACACACACACACGCACGGGTGAGCAGAGAATAGGCTCGCATCAGGCTTCACTGCACTTGACTCCCAGTATAGGGGAGGAACTCACCGCAATCTGGTTTTCCACGAATCCTTGAGCCAGCTACTTCGCCGCCGTACTGGTCCACGCACCAGCATTCTCCCCTGTCACACTGCAGCTTCCTGTAGAAGCCGTCTTCATCACAGTTTGGGATGAAGCGACCTGGCAAATGTTCACACACACACACACACACACACACACACACACACACACACACACACACACACACACACACACACACACGCACGGGTGAGCAGAGAATAGGCTCGCATCAGGCTTCACTGCACTTGACTCCCAGTATAAGGCATGCAGCATATGTTGCAACCAGTTCCATAACCTATGAATATCAATTTTGTTTACAGAATATGGTGGTGATGAATATGTAAAATCAGCATGGTGGAGCATATTTGGATGATGTGCGTGTGTGTGTGCCTGCCTTGAAAATTTAACACGCACAAGTCCAGCTCAATATCCTCGACAAAAAGTATTTGGACCATGGATTTTCACCAGATGGAGAAAGTGTAACTTATGAAAGCTTGAAAGTTACAATGTTAGACAGCCCAAGCTCCACAAGCCATATTCACTTAGCTCGTTCAATCATATTATCGTGTAGCCAGGCCCTACACTGGTGCGGTGACGCAGCGTATCGACACACGGAAAGGTTAGCCTTTTTAGTTTAAAATAACTTACATTAACCTCCTGGATCCCGCGCCGTACCCTGGCCAATGGCAGAACAAAAGATGTTTGTTCTTTTTGGTCCTATTTTAAATCAATTTGCATTGCTACTGGCCTCATCCAAGCTAGCGCCAAGCTAGTTCGTCTCTCAGGTCTGGTGTCCAAGTTTGCAAACTCCATTACGTTTGTTGCTAGCACGGCATTAGCCCGCCAACAGTGAGGTGTTAGCCAGCCAAATGTTCCTGTTGCAAGGATTCCGTTAGCCATAGCCAGCCAACCATGAGGCATTAGCCGGCCAAATATTCCCATAGCTACTGTTATGTGCACTCCCTACGTAGATACGGCAGACATAGAGAGATGGGATGTGCCATCCAAGCATTCCTCTCTGAGGACAATATGCAATGACATGTTCTAGCTCGAATGGGTAATTTTCGATTTGGCGTTTGTTTCCAACAGCTAACGGCCAATTTTTCAAAAATTGATGCAGCACTTAAGCTTGAACATACCTCAGCTTGACAGGCAAAGCCACTCGCACTTGGACTTGGAATTTCTCACACCAGTTCACAAGTTCACATCAACGTATATTTATTGCTGCCATTTTTTTATAGGGGGTATTTTAGCACAGTGATTATGCTGAATCTGCGTGACCAATGAACGATGATATAAATTACGTTTTGGAACATAATAATGTTAATCAATATGCGTGGGATACAAATCAGATGGCGCAAAATAAAAGCATCCCTGCAGTATTTCAAAGGCGCATCTGAAAGTCAGCCTGGCGCTGTGCCCTCGGTGTCCTTGCACAGTCCTGACTCAGAGCCCAGTCAGCCAGCCAAAATCTGCAGTGCGCACGAGTCCAAATATGCACACACTCATTTACCCACTTAGACACATATTTACACACACACACACTTTGGCCCATTTTTCCTTGTCGTCTGTCTGTATCAAATTCGAAT